ACTTAATCCCAACATGTATTAAGTTATAACCAAGCATTTTATGCCCCTTTTAGCCTTTAAAACATCATATATGATATCAATGGGAAATACATATAAGCCTAATCACTTTGGGTAATCACATGTTTAAGCAACTTTTAAACATCATTATGAACACATATAGCATTTACTTAGGTAATTTCATAATTAACCCAAGAGTTATAAGACATTAAGCCGTCCACTCACCTCAAATGAGCGTGATGAAGTTCTACCCTTCTCGGTTGAACTCCGGTCAAACTCCGGTGAACTTTGACGAACTCCGACGATAACTCCGGCGACTCTTTAAACCTTGTGAAAGCTCTCAAATCACCTTTGACACGTTCCTAACATGGTTTTATCATCACAAAATCCATATCAATACAAATAACCTTTAAAAGGTTATTTTCCGGCGAACTGGTCTCTTTGGCCTCTAAGTCCGTTCCTGGACTTAGAACCACCTTTCAACCCATAAACCCATGCTTATAACATGTCGAACCATACTAAAGGTCCTTCACATGATATATACCTCAAATGGTAGAAGAAAAATAAAGGAAAAGTTATGATAAGGTTGTTACCTTAATTTTCACACTTTTCCCTAGCTTTTTCCTTCTATAATCTTCCTCCTTGGACTCCTCTTGCTTGAGCTTTGTTCTTTGATATGGAGGATGTATTTTGCAGGGGGTTTCTTCTCCTCTTGATGAGCCTTGGCCGAAAATGAGGATGGAGGTGAGAGGAAGTACCACCTTTTGGCTTATTCCACCATGATAACATGGCAAGGACCCCCCATATGTCCTTTTGATGCCAATCCCCTCAAGTCAACCACCCCTACACCCCTCCTCTCCAATCAGCCAGCCTTCCCCCCTCTCACAGCCCACATAATTTCGTGGGTTGGCCCCCACATGTGTGGGAGGTCACCCCTTTTTGTCCAAAAGTGTACAATCGGGCCCGAAAGTTGTATTTCTCGAACTGTTTTAACTATATTTTATTTTATCGGGTCAAATAAAATATAACACTTACTTCCCATCATAGTGGGCCTTTAGGATGATTATACATTCCCCAACTTTAATTTGGAAGTCCCCGAAATTCATTTCGGACTGTTATCTGATAAATTATCCAAAACCGGTAATTGGGCCTCGTTTGACCAATCGGTCAACCCAATGCCTTTCTTATGGCCCAAAATGAATGTCCACCACCATATAACTATTATCTATACCAAGATGAATAAAATGTGCGGTCTCGGGAATATCGGGTGGCCCCCGCTCCCGGTGTGGGCCCCACGTGCAACTTACTATTCACGCAAAAGAATTAACAAAAATTTACAACCTCGTAAATTCATTAACCATTTCATAAGGTTCAATACATAATTTACATAAAAGTAAATATACTTGGGGACGGTGTTACACATACTTCGTGAGGTTAATTGGGCTACAGATAGATTGGCCCAGCTACATTCCAATCAATTGATTATTTTTAATCGGGCCTCTAATCTTCTGGGCCCTGTGAAGAGAGCTTATTACATGGATAAATTTGGCCTTCCCCACATCAGGAACTAAAGTGGATTCTTAGTTTGTACGGTCTTTTCTGTTTTACTTTTATTGGGTCTGGTCTAATTTCTTTGTTTCACTGTTATGTTTCCGGAGGTTTTTTTTGGCCTAGTCCCCCCTTGTTCTGTAATTTATCTTATTTAATAAAATCCGGTAAATATCACCCGACATTTACCCCACTGATTTTGGTGGTTGGCCTTCCGAGGTTTAAAAAAAATGTCAATACTGACGTCACCGACTTTCGCGGCAATGTCAATGCCATAAAAATGACATTGTTAAAAACGATGTAAATTCTATATAGAATGGTGTTGTTTTTTTAATTGAAAAGTACATTATTGACAATGTATTATGATGTATTATAATGTTTTCTATACATAATGGTGTTGTTTTTTATTATAATGTATTATTATAATGTCATTATAGGAGAATAATGACAATGTGGTAAACAATGTCAATGCATGACAATGTGATAGACAATGTCATTATATGACAATGTAATGATCGATATCATTATTTGAAAATTTATATCATTGTGTGAAACAAAAATAACATAAATATTATATTTAGGATTAGTCATTGATGATATTGTGATATCATGACATTATGTGATAACAATGTTAAATTATCATGTGAAATTCTGATATTAATAGTATGCCATTATCAACATAAATCAATGGTAAACATTAACTATTAAATATAGAAAAATTATCTCAACGTTGGGAAAGTACTATAATGGTAAAAAATGTAGCGAATTTTGACAGCACAAATATTGTCACAATAAAAACTATATGGTGATATTAAAAATAAAGTGATAATGTTGAAAAAATGTCATAAATAGTAACACTAACACTATCAGAATTTAATTTAAATAATGAACTGTTTCTTTAAGGTAATTAATTATGACTACATTATAATTTATATTATAATGAAAAAGAAAAAAGCATTATAACATAAATGTTTTTTTAATAAAAACCTACAAATCATTAAATCAACCAACAATCAACTCAAGTGAATGCAATTCTCAAAGAAATATTAAGAAACGAAACAAAAAGAATCAGCTTCAACCAAAAAAGACCAAACAATGACGGAAATATAACAAAAAATCAAGCGCAACCAAAAAACAAAAAGGAAAGACAGAAGAAAAGCAGAGAAAAACGAGCGGCGACGGATGAGAAATAGGAGGAAAGGATATGGAACGAAGAAGAGATCTGGAACATCTTCATTGATGCCGCCCTATACCTCGAGCCACCGTCGATTGTCTCTTTGGTTGCAAGCTCAGGCTTACCACGGCTAATCGGACTCCAGACGCCGCTGCCTTGTCTCCATCTTGTTAGAAATTAACGCACTCAACACGAAGAACAATATAAAGAACACACGAAATTTGGTAACCCAGTTCGTCACGAATGACTACGTCTGGGGGCGCTACCAAGCCATGAATGTTATTAATATTTGATTATAAGGGAGAAATCTTGTATATATATAGAGTAAACGTAACCCCTAAAATAACTAGGACGGAAACTCGCGGCTCCTCAAAAACGGACCAAAATTTTTGGGAACTCGCGGTATTTGCATTTGGATAGAAAAGAATTTGTCAAAGGAGAAGTAAGTGTGTTATTGTGCATCAAGCATATTAGGGAAGTCCAATATCCAGAGTGACTTGGTAATGTGGTTTTAGCCTCCCAAGCCTCCAACCTGGAATATGTGCGTGGATTACACAGACCTGAACAAGGCTTGCCCAATGGACTCTTTCCCTTTGCCAAGTATAGATCAGTTGGTGGATCAAACCGTTGAGTGCGAACTCCTTTCTTTCATGGACGCATTCAGGGGATACCATCAAATTTCCATGCACCATGACGACGCTGAGAAGAACTCATTTATCACCCCAGATGGAGTTTTCTGTTATCTTGTAATGGCCTTTGGACTAAGGAACTCTGGGGCCACCTTCACTAGAATGGCCTTTGGGCTAAAGAACTCTGGGGCCACCTTCACTAAGGTAGCTTGTTGCATTTGTATTCAGAAGAGATTAGACAGCAAGAGGATGCAAGAAGAACGGGACGCCCGATGGGTAGCTGCTACAGTTAAATCAAGGGTAAAAGTGGCATTTAGGCTTATCAATGGGTCGGGTCTAGACCCGGACCCGATCCGAATCTGACACTTTATTTGAGGGTATGGGTCTAAATTTAGAACCGTTTTCCGGATCCGGATCCGAACCCGTTACATGATAGAGAAAATGGGTTGAACATGGATTTTTAAGTTCTGGCCCGTTTTGGACCCGACCCGTGATGATGTAATTATAGTTATAATTTTTTACATATACACACACAATATACATAGAAATATTTAAACATAAAATAAGGAAAATAATCAAATATAAAAAATGTTTTAACATTTGTAGGCTTAGTTAGTGGTTGACCCACTATAATGGGATTTTCGTTAATGAGCTATTACTCTAGGTTCTCTATGAGTTCACTAATGTACATATAACATACTCCGTATATTATTGTATAGCTTATACGGAGTAATGAATTGAACAACATTTTGCTTATTTATATATGATCTCTTCCAACATGATTTTTTTTGTTATATACTCCATCCGTCCCGAATTGTAAGATACTTTACGGTTTTCGATGTTTGACCAATGATAAAGCAAACAGATCTCTGTCCGCACTCAATTTTTTTAGAAAAAAGAATCACATATTCAGAAACTACATTAAAAGTTTTACAAAGTCACAAAAACTAGAATCAAATTTGATAAAAAAAAATTGATAGATAAAGTAGTAAGAGATTAAGAGTGATTTGTGTTGACCAAGTGAATAGGAAAGATATATTACAAAATGGAACTGGGGGAGTATTATACTCCCTCCGGTTTTTAATAAACTTCACACGTTCCTTTTTGGGACGGTCTAAAATAAACTTCACACTTCCTTATTTCCTTTTTTGGCAAAAGAAATCTACATCAAAACAGTGACAAACAGTGCCGACTGCCGAACAGTGTCTCAACAGTATCAAACAGTGTCTCTACAGTGCCAAACAGTGTCAAACAGTGTCTCAACAGTGTACTCTACAGTAAAGTCAAATTTCTTTCCTTATTTTGTGTGAAGTCAAACAGTGAAGATTAAAAAAACCGGAGGTAGTATTTATTTGCATATGTCATTTAGTTTTTTTGCGGGTATACCCGGCCCGGGTCCGAGATCCGCCGGATCCAAATCTAGAACATATGTTTAGGACCCGAAAGGTAAATGGGTCCGGATCTGGACCAAAAAAAATTCAACGGATATAAATATGGAATTTATAGGTTTGATAGGCCTAGTGGCATTAAGTAAAATTGTAGTTATGTTTAAGACCATTTCATGTTTATGACAGGCCTAGTAGTTATGTTATAAGTAAAGTTATTATGGTCTTGTTTAAGACCATTTCTCAACTCATAATACACATGTACAGATTGCATATCATCCGCGTGCACGTCTACGAACCTGCAGAACCTGACCATCTTATCAAACACGAGCTTGAGGAAATGTCGAGCGGCGAAGAACCGATTGAGGAATCTAATGGAGATTCATCGGTGAATGTGACGCTAAATCTCAAAGATCGATCAAAGGTGACAACCGGTTCATCAGTCATACGGATATCTGGATGCAATTTCGCTTGCTTTATGCGTTTGTATATTTAATTCTAATTTTAATATTCTCTTTGGTTTTGGAATTTTATGTGTTATGTTTGGTTTGTGCAGAAAATGGTGAAGACGAAGGAGAAGACGAAGCAGATCTTGTCGGAGCATGCAGATAAGATTGCCAAACGGGCTGAAGAGCATGAGACCTTCATCACCAAGGTATGAAAACCCGTTATTCACACACGCGCCTCTGTATTATGCATTTCCTCTATTTGGGTGATGTTTGGGTCTTAGTTTATGCTTCACAAGGTCCGAACGAACAACGCAGTATTGATTGAATAGTTTGGTTGAATTTGTTGTATCTGGTAGAGAATGATGCTTCAAAGATAACCCATATCTTTGTATCTGTTTTATTTTTGAAAGAAATAAATAGGAACGGTTATATTGAATAAACTTAGTTTTAAGCTTTCTGATGACTGATGAGAATAGTTGTGGTTACTCCCAAATCCTAATACGTACTATATGTTGATTGACTGCCTCTACCCATGGTGGTGAACAGGTTACTCATCTACTTGGTGTTCTTGGGTTTGGGGCATTTTGCTTTATTTTGGGTGCAAGTAAGTGTAATTCCTAGTATTTCAGTTATGATGAAAAAATGTGTCATTTTAGTGCTTGTTGGCCCTTTTAAAAAAGTGCTTGTTGGTATATTCCTTGTATTAATACTCGAGATAATTCATCGATTAACTTTGCAGGGCCACAAGACATTCCTTATGTATACTGTGTGTTCTATGTCACCTTTGTTCCACTTCGGTGGATTTACTACCGTTATAAGAAATGGCATTATTATCTTTTGGTAAGCACCTATTAACCTGACTTTCTGGTCCTCCTCTTTGGTAGATTAAGAGCCCATTTGGTATGGGTGAATTTGGCTTAAATTGGTGAAGTTTAAATTATGGATGGTATTCATAAAGTTTCTTGGTAATGAAAAAACATAGTCCCTCTGTCCCAATGTACTTTGCCAACTTTCCTTTTTGGTTGTGCCAAAAACATTTCCACTTTCTCACTAAAGTAACTAATGTGTGATTCTGCTCGTTTCTGTATCGTTTGCACATATCTCAACTATACAATTTTTTTCTTATTTCTCACCTAATTCAAAGTTGGCAATGTCTAATGAGACGGAGATAATATTACCTTCGTCCCATTGGTCATTGTCAAGTTAGAATTAGGTGAAATATAAGTAAAAGTTGTGTGGTTGGGGTTTGTGTAGAGGAGATAGAAATGAATAGAGCTACTAATTAATGACTTTAAAATGAAAATGGTAAAGTTTTTTGTACAAACAAAACAGGAAATTTGGCATAGACCAATGGAATGGAGGAGTATAAATTATTCTAGAAACACACAAGAAAAATGGAAGATCAACTTCAAGAACCGAAGCTCTAAAAGTTCCTCTAGCTGTACGTGTTTTAATTTTTAACCAATTCAGAACGCACCACAATCAAATGAGATAGTGTTTGGTAAAAGTGTTGGCTACCAAGCCGTAAAAGTGACTGCCAAATTGCTTCTAAGCTATACTTAATCTGATCTCAGTTACTCTGTATTATCTTTCATGCATATATTTAGGGTTCAGCATTTTGGTTCGGTTTCACCCAATCAAACATTCAAACCGATCCAAACTAATCTTATCCGACACCAAAGCATTCGCAATTCAGTTTATGTTCTGATTTTTTCCAAAACGTATTAATCTTGTCAAAACGGAATCAAACAAAAGTTACAAAACCAAACCCTTCATAAAATACAATACAATAAACCTTATTGTATATTTGAAAAATAACAATTTCAAACCTATCCAAACCAAACATAGTTTGGTTTTAAATTGGTAATCATTTGCCCTGCACATTTTATACCGAACAAAAAAAACTACCCCAACATGAAATGCCTAGCACTACATGCATTCTTTCTTTTGGGGAGGTAAGACGGATATAGAGGGGACAAGACTTGGAGTGTATTATTGAACAAAGTACTAAGGTTCATTACAAGTTTATGATTTTATAATAACTTCATGACTGCTAATTTCTGTCCTCCAACTCGTAATAATTGCATATGAAGTCTTTAACTGCTATTGGAGTTGAGGTGTTGAATGAAGGCGACATGTTTCTTTCTTGTTGTGCAGGATTTTTGCTACTACGCTAATACAATATTCATAATCACAATTTTCTTTTATCCTCAGAATGAAAAACTTTTCATGGTTTGTTTCTCATTTGCAGAGGTCCGTTTCTTTAACCAAGTCCACCTGATTTCCAACTTGATAATGTCTCTGCACTAATTCATTTGGTTTCCATTGTAGGGCCCGTTGGCATGGGCATTGATTGTTTGGCGATGTAGCCTTGTTTTTAGCTCTGCCGATAAAATCGTTAGTGTCTTCATACATCTCTTACCTGGTAAGATATATCCATTTCTTAATGCTGTTCTAGTGTTGTTACTTCTGTAGATGTAAGTTATTTACTTGACACTGTTGCCTGATGTGAAGTAATTGATACATTGGGCCTGTATCACCCCAAAAAGATGCTCAGAAGGTAGGTGTATTTTACATTAAACAGTTGGCATGCAATACTCAACATCACCCAGGTCTAATGTCATGATAAATTGGTTCAAAAAGGATACTCAAGCTGTGATATTTAGTTCACAGGTACTCTGACCCTTCAAGCAATTGAAATGGTATATCCAACATGGAGAAACACGCATAGTATAGTTGTTGTTTAATGGTTTTCATATAATCTTCATCTCTATTTGAGCTCCTTTCATGTATTAAATAGGTTTTGAATTACAGAAAAGAGTTTTTGCCATTTTTAGTCCTCCGACTATTATGTCATTGACACTTTTGGTACTCGACTTTGATTTTTTCCACTTTTAGTCCTTGACTATTGTGTGAAAGACACTTTTGGTACCCATGTTCGAAATTTTTCATATTTAGTCCTCCGACTTTTATAAAAGTGACACTTTTGGTACTTCAACTATTGTAATAATGACATTTTAAGTCCTCCATTTCTTGTGTCAAAATCATAGTTGAAGGACTAAAAGTGTCAATTCGATAATACTCAGGGATTAAATATGAGAAACTTTGAAGTTGAGGACTAAAAATGTCTCTAGCACAATAGTCAAGGACTAAAATTGGAAAAATTAAAAGTGAGTACCAAAAGTGTCAAAGACACAATAGTCGGGGGACCAAAAATGGCAAAAACTCCTTATGTTCTACATGATATTCAGGATTGGTAAAAATATTCCTCACACAGTATTTGGCAAAAATGCATCCTTATGTTCTACATGATATTCAGGATTGGTTTTCTTCACAATTCGGTGGTGGGATCCTGTTTATTTTGGAGCCATGCATCCAGAAGGAAATGACCGTAGAGCTTCATGGCCTTACGCAGAAAGCAAATCCTACCTCTGGACATGGCTTTTTTTGGTCCCCTTGATAACATACACTCTCTGGCAGATTCTCTATTTTCTCATTGTTGATGTGTTACGCCGCCAAAGATTTTTAAAAGATCCTGAGGTCATGACTTCTTACAGGTTGGATCTCGCTCTTTGTTTGTTGTAATTTCTATTGTTTGTTGTAGTGAAAATGATTATTGTGGCTAAAAATGCTAATTTTGATAGTTGGACGAATAAACTGAATTATCTTCAAATGTTGTTTAAAAGTATTTCCTTTTATAGAGTAAAGGAGGTAGTATTAGGAAAAAAATGAATGTAGAAATGTCATTTTCTTTAATATCAGTCTACAACTCCTACATCCTTGTTTCATTGTACAATAGGGAGCTATCAAAAAAAGCCCAGAAAGCAAACAACATGTGGTGGCGTCTGAGTGGGTTGCTTGGGGACGAGAACCGCCTGTTGATGTACATTCTTCTGCAAGCAGTGTTTACTATGGCAACCACGGCACTGACCGTACCCATATTTTTATCATACGAGTTGCACGTGACCTTTCAAATCCTCAAGATCTCTGCATCTACATGGAACGGAGGGAACTTTTTGGTAGAAGTGATGCCCAGACAGGCAATTCTCAAGCAGCAACAGCAGAAGCAGAAATCGGAGATCACTACTTCTGGCCAGTAGCAAGTAGTTGTTCTAGTGATTAATGTCCTGTCTATCCTCTGAAACTAACCCCAGCCCCTTTGCCCTGCTCAAGGGCCCTTCCTGCTGCTGGCTTTCCCCTTCTCCTCCCTCCAACCTCCAACATCAATGGGAAAGACCAGAAGACTAGATTCTTCACTGAAAACATCTAGGGGAAAAACAGTTTCAAGCAGCTGGGGCGAACACTACAAAAATTAACCATTATGCTGTTGTCATGTATTGCCATTTTAGAAAATTCAACAAGTACATACGAAGCATGCTTATCTATATTTCTTACATCCACAGCTTTTCGAAATTGAAAAACCTTTTCGGAATATGTAACTTACATAAACATCCAATTCCATCGTAATTACACATTTTATACTGAGCGTTGTTGCGTACAACACCAAAAACACTTTTGTCGCATGTGCCGTTCTTTTTCTTTCTTTGCCTTTTGCATTCTACACCACGTTTTGCAGGTTGCAGCAGACCCAAATGAATAGTTGACGCAATAAAAGTGTTATAAATGTTTGTATCAGTTAAAAGTAGTGTGCTCACCGTTCTCACATTAAGCATAGTTCTTATTCATTTACAAATACACACACAGACAATTCTCGAAGTAGAGGTTGCCTGTTTTGATTTGTTGGGTATCGCCGTATTGGTGTAGATGTAGCGGACCGGCTGAACATTTATCCACTTTGGATATTGGCCCCGGCCCAAACTAATCGGTCTGTTGGGTTGGTGGCTAAGTTAGGCTTTCAGAATAACTTTAGCTGGAAATCGGATGATCATTTACCAGCCGAGCTTCGTGGGGTGTTAAAGTTGGATGAGATGTTAGTTCCTTATACTTTTTGGTCTGTTTGTTTTGATTTTTTTTACACTTTGTCAAAAGGGAATGCCCTTTCTCAGGTTTTGGCTTGGTCCCCCTCGCTTTTTGTAAGTGTTTGCAATATTTTTATAATATTCGACAGATATTCCCCGGTATCTGTCCCACCAACTTAGGTGGTTTACCTACCGGGTTAAAAAAAAGAAAAAATACACACACACACACACACAAATCTTTAGGTCCAGAATTCTGGACTAGAACCGCCGTCTAGGCGGTGGTGTTTGGGCCACTTTCAGGTGTAAGTTTTTGGTGAAAATTTTTGGGGATGTTATTTGATGGTACCATGGACCCGAACCATGGTCCAATTACGGAATCCAGCCCATAACGGGATCAGCCCTCAACGGGATTAGCCTAATAAACAGGACAAGCTCATAGACGGGATCAAGCCCTAAACGGGATTAATATAATAAGCCGCTGGGCCTAATTAGGAATCAGGCCCACGATAGGAACCCACAACCAGGCCAGGCTGGACAGCAGACCTCGAGCCTGGGTGGAGTTCTAGTGAGGCCGGGATATTCCTAGGACTTACGTGGCAGGCTATCATTCGAGCATAGCTATCTGGCAGCATGCAGGATTCATCGGAAGAACGTGGACTTTAAGGAGGCAATCATTGCACAACGTCCAAGACGTTACAAGAGTTTTATTCGTTTAGAATATAATTAATAGCATTTATTGTATCAGTTTCCTCCTTAAATACTAGCTCCTAGGGTCTATAAATACTTCCTATATATTTTCTATGAAGGGATCGAAACTCCGAAATAATAATACTGCCTTACGCTGCCCATTAGCCCATATTTGATCTCATTCGTAGATATAGCTCTCGTAGTTGGATTAAACTACATCATATCATTTGGTGCTCTCATTGAGAGAACGATTTACGAAGAGCGATGGTTGGATCACACAGTCACAATCGTGTGGGTAGTAACCAAGGCGGAGATCGTTACAATCAGGTCGTGATCGAGGACGAAGGATCAAGATCACGGCGGAGCGATTTCCGGAGGCGCAACGACAACATCGTTACCCAAGGCGATTTGAGAAACCAGCTCCAAGGCGTGGGGAGTTCCATACGAACGCCGGGTACCAGGAATCTTATCCCCAACGTTGACCCAGCGTCCCAGCCCAAGCTTTGGCAAGCTTAGCAACATTCCAGAGGGCGGTGGAGATCTTGACTACTACTTTCCAAGGTATCATTCCTGATCCTAATGGGAGACCTCCTTCCCCTCGCCGAGCTCCATCTATGGTCCAGCGAGAGAGGGGGATCTCTCCGCAACCACAAAGGAGTTCTCCACCAGCCAGGTCTCAACGCTCCCACCACTCCAGGCAGACCCCGAGGGCTTCTATGATGGATCGGATGGGCGGACAAAGGGTTTCTGTTCATGAAAGGCTCTCTTCTAGGGCGGAGCGTAGTGAGGAGGCATCCTCTGTGGCCGTTTCGTCCCACCTCCGCAATGCGCGTAAGGGAGATCTCCGAGACAAGATCAGCGCGAATAGGCATGCCCGCTGATAAGTCCATTTTTGTACTTATTTTTCTTATCAAATTTAAGCGATTTTTGAATGAAAATAGAAAGAAAAGACACATTTTATATATTTTGGTTCAAGTTTCATGAAATCAGGTAAAAATCACATCCATAATATGTTTAGCGGGATTTCGGGTCAATTGAGCACAAAATGAGTCAATTTGAGTGACAAATGCATTTATACCGGAAGAAGCAAGCATTTTATCAAGGTGATTCAGAAGACAAAGTTGAAGAGCAAGAAAAGCCGCATCTGCCAGACAAAAGTGGCCGAAGGCGCCCAAATAGGCGCCCAAAATGGAGGCCTTCGCGGCCGCCTACGGGAAAATTCAGAAGTCAACCTCGCTTTGACTCGGGACCAGGAAAAGACCGAAGGCTGCCGACACTGGACAGAAGGCGGCCGCCTACGGTGGCCGCCTGCGGCACAAGGGGACGAAACCAACCACCGGTCGGCCAGACAAGACGGCAGGCGGCCAGACAGGACGGCAGGCGGCCGCCTGCTGGACCGCCTGCGGCGGCCGGGGTCCGCCGGGATCCGTCGGGATCCGATCTGCCAACGAAAAGATGGCAGGCGGCCATTTTTGACAGAAGGCGGCCGCCCTCTGTGGCCGCCTACGGCTGACGGGACCGCCACCGACGGTCTGCCGGCGATAGGACGGCAGGCGGCCAGAGGCTGCCGGAAGGCGGCCGCCTGCCCGGGCGCCTACGGGAATTTTTCGGCTATAAAATCCAGGCTTTTTCCTCAACTCAAACACACCTCTTCCAACCCTAAATCAGTTCAAAACACCTTCTTTCTTCCTCCATTTTCGAGCTCCAAAGGGTTTAGAGAGAGAGAAACTTCAAATCTTCATATCTTCTTCATTTTAGCTCCAAATTGTAAGTTCTTTATATGTATTTTCATCTTCTCAATGTGTAGAATCTGAATCTGTGCTTTGTTTCTTCGATCTGTTCTTCGAAAATTTCCAGATTATTTTTCAAGTATTTCGCATTTCCTTCCAAAAATTAAATAAAATAGTTATTGTTGTTGAATTCATTCCAATTAATTATATAGTTGTTCACTAGCCTCAAGGTAGTTATTTATCTGAAGAAATTAATTTTTCACGAACCAGAAGTAATTTTTAATTAATTTTGGTAATTATTTGATATTAGTTCATAATTTAAAATAAATACTAGAAAAATAGGAAAAAAATGAGTTCGGCCCTATTTACAGTTTAGTTAACTTAAATATCATTACTAGTAGTTAATATAAAATTTGGTACGAATTTAGAGTATTTTTTTATTAATTTCGGTAACTACGTTATATTATTGCTTAAGTCAAAATAAATACTAAAAAAGAAAAAAAATTAGTTCGGCCTTAATTTCAGTTTGATTCATAGTAATATCACTCCCAGTAGCTAAAATAAAATTTATAACGAAGTTAGCATATTTTTAGTTGCTTTTTGCATTTTCTAGTTAAAATTGGGAAAATTATCAATTACTTGTCAAAAATTGGATTTTAGGTTCAAAAATTGGTGAAAAATTCCAGAAAGTTATATTTTAGTTCCTACAAGTTTATTGTTCCAGAATATAATTTTTGTTTAATTTTTGCTATCATACATGTTTAATTCCTTGTTAATGTTGAATTTAATCATTATATTGTTAATTGCAAAAATGGTGATGAGTAGCTAAATTTGTTAGGGCATGAATTGAGAAAAGGAATATGGATTGACTTGTTGACCTAAAATTAGGGGTTAAAATTAATAAATTGGACTAGTTGTTTGAAATGATGAAATAGTAATTAATAATAGTTAGCCATTTTCATTAATTAAATTCTTGGAAAATTAATTCTAACTTGTCTATGAGATTAGAAATTAATTTAAGCCAACCATATTTGAGCACATTAATAAGGCCTAGAAATAGGATAATTTAATGAAAAGGATTTACATCTTGTCTATGAGAAATAAATTCAATTGCTAAAATAAAGAGTTTAACTAGTTAATGAATTTGGCTATTTTTATTAATTAAAATATTGGAAAATTATTTCTACCTTGTCTATGGGTTTAGAAAATAATTTAAGCCAACCATTTTAAACACATTAATGACACCTAGAAATAGGATAAATTAATGAAGATAGTTTCTATTCTTGTCTATGAGGAAAGAAATTATTAGTCCAATTTTAGTTTTAATTTCCCTAATTAAGAGGTCCAAGAACATATCCATTTCTAATTACTCAATTCATTGCCCTTATTTGCATCCTTGAATATTCAATATTTATACATTAATCTTTAAATTGCACCTTGCTCCTAGTTATAATTTAGCGTAATATAGAACAAAATCACTTTCTTATATTGAAAAAGCTTCCAACAATTAGCGATAGCCCGTGACTAAAATTAAATTAAGAAACTTCTCCGCCATTCCTCAAGAGACACGACACTCGGGGAAAAACCGAAAGGTTAGACTCCGTTTTACTACAACGCCGCGAAAGCGGGTTATCACCCGCAGGGATCGTCGGTCCCCACTGCACGCCCAGACAGGCCATAATAATGACGACCTCAGGAGGAGGCTAGACAAGCTCAGAAGGGAGGTGGATGGCAGGATCAACCTCAATCATGATGTGAGGATTCCAGAGCCATTCACTCGTCAGATCATGGATGCACCACTGCCGCAAGGATACAGGCCATGCAACATCGAGGCCTACCGTGGAAAGACTGACCCCAACATCATATCTCCGGGTACGTAGCCTATATGGTAATGATGGGATATGATGATGCCATCAAGTGCAGAGGATTCTCCGGGTACGTAGCCTATATGGTACGACTCTTTACCAGATGGAAGGATACGAAACTTTCGGGAGTTGGCCCATGCATTCGTAAACCCGTTTTGCCAGCCCCAAAGATTCCAAGAAGAATTTCTCTCACCTCTTGGGAATCAAACAAGGACCCAGGAGAGCCTGGTTGATTTCCTAGTACGCTGGAGGGATGAGTCAGTAAAGGTAGAAGACTTGGATAACAAATCTGCTGTGGCTATTCTCACTAACGCGGTTTTGGCCCCCAAGCCGCCGACCTGGAGGATGTGCGTTGACTATACAGACCTAAATAAGGCATGCCCAATGGACCCCTTCCCTTTACCAAGTATAGATCAGCTGGTGGATCAAACCGCTGGATACGAACTCCTTTCTTTTATGGACGCATTTAGGGGATACCATCAGATCTCCATGCACCCTGATGACGCTGAGAAGACCTCATTAATCACCCCAGAAGGAGTTTTTTGTTACCTATGGAGAAAGCCAGTGCATATGATCCTGAACTTGCTACCAAAGAGTATGGATCTGATTCTGAAATGCCACATTCAAAGGAGAATAAGGAGGATTGGTATGCAGCCCTACCTGGCATTATAAACAAAGTCCATATACTGCTTAACTCAAAGAAAATAAGGGAAGATTCATAGTTGTTATCAGCCTTAGCATCATCTAATAAAGATCATGTGGTGAATAAAGAAGAATTCATTATTGTGGGAAGGAGGAGAAGGCAGAAGAAACCCATACCACAGACCCCGGGGATGACAACTAGAAATGCTGCCAAAAGGCAACCAAATACTATTCCCCACCCCACTCAATGAATGGTCTTATATGGAATTTGAGAGGTCTAGCAGCCTCCGGGCCAAGACTTTCTCACATAATTACCAAATGGAGGATCAATTTTCTTGTTGCTATTGAACCTATGGTTCAATCTAATAAGGCTTATTACTTTAAGCTGGATTTAGGTTTCTCTAATGTTCTTTTTAATCCATTGAATAAGGTTTGGATATTCTGGGACTCT